GTTACACCTGCCTATGACCTGGCAGAGCAGGAGCACACACAAACCCTGGCTGTGCCAGGCTGGGGATGAGGGCCCAGCCAGTTTAACCCCAGTGGGGAGCTTGGGGGCATCTCTGTGACCCCCAGGCAGGAATGAGTAGGGAACAGAGCCCCTAAGGAAAGGCATGTTGGCCCCATGGGGGTGGGCACCAGCCCCCCACTCCCCCTGAGAGCCCCTTACTTCTTCTCGGGGTAAGGCTCGAAGGAGTCGTCTGAAGATTGCACGTTTCTCTTCTCGCTTTCATCGTCGCTCAACAAGTCCCTGAGAGAGAGAAGCTGCCCTTTACCACCGTGACCTGGGGCTGACCCTCAGCACCAGCAGCTCCCCATTCCCAGCACATCCATCTCCCCCATGGCACGTGTTCTCCTCCCCATCCTCTCCCCAGGCAAACACAGCGCCGGTGAACACAGCAAGGACCCAAACCAGGTCCTTTTAGGGCTAAATCTCTGCAAGAATAATCAAACCACTGTCAGGAGAACAAAAAAAGGGCTGTTACTGAAAGGATCTATTCATGGGTGAGGGATGTGGCTGCTGCTTCCTCTACTGGGAAAAGGAATTTTGTGGAGCAAGAATGTCACATAATTGTCTGGCACAGGTTAATGAAGCTGCGGGTCATTCTGTATTCCCTCAGATATAACAGCCACATTTGGACTTATCTTTTTCCTCCTTTTAGGCCTTAAGCCATACAAGAAGCAATTAATTCCTGAAGACAGGAAATAGGCAATAAATCGTTGCAGCCCTTTGAATGTGACAGCTGACAGGCCCAGCTGACACTGGAGTCACTCTGCACTTGGCCCTTTAGACTCGCAACGCCTGGATTGGTGAATTTACAGCCCCATTCCAAACCCCTGTGTTGGACGGAGCCAAATCCTTGCCCACAATGGACTGCAGAGCTGCCAGGTGCCTCCCTCTCCCATTTCCCAGTTAAAGGCTCTCCCCAGGAGCAAACAGGGTGGTTTCTCCACGTGCCACCCCGTGCCTGCATTTCCACTCCCACAACGTCCCCTGGGGCCGGAGCAGCAGCTCCCAGCACGGCTCCTTCCCCAGCAGAGAGGGGGCAAAGCAGGGCCAGGATTGCAGGGAGCAGCCCACAAACACGCAGCACACGTGTGTGCAAACCCCCAGAGCAGAGGAGGGAGCTCAGAGCCCCAGTGCCACGAGCTCTGTGACTGGGCTTTCTCCACCAGCTCCAAGCCCCCGGTGCTGGTGGAGAAAGAGCTCCCCGTGCTGGGGAGTTCCCACTGGCAAAGAAGACATTTAGGCTATTTTAAACCCACTCTTCTCTCACCCCTCAGAAAGGTCACTGAACTCGTCTTTTACCCGCTCATCCGACGTTGCAGACAGAACCTGCTTCCCACTCAACTGTCCTAGGGAAGGAAGGAGAACACGGTGTGTTACAGGGAAAAGCAGCAGACCCACGGCGGCCGAGGAGGAGCCGGCTGCACTGGCATGGTCACACTGTGGCAATCAGTGATTGTTTGAACCAAACTGTCCCCTCTGCCCAGAAACGGCTCTCCCTGTGCTCCACCCTGACCCTGCAGCTCCCAGGAGCAGCTTTTGGTTCCTCCTGTGACACCTGTAACTGAAAGAATTGTCCCCAGGCAAGTCCCAGCTGCCATTCTTGTGTCCAGCAGCAGACATCTCCTGTGGGTGCTGGAGCTAAACACAGCCCCACTTCTGGAACTCAAAATGGGTGTTAATTCCTCGCTTCTGGAAGTGGTGTTTGGGGCACCCAGCCCAAACCCACTCAGCAGTTTTCCTTTAGGGGCAGAAGGGCTTCCTGGGATTCAGCATCAGCTGCTGTACAGCAGGGAAACCCAGTTTCAGGACCAAGCCGAAAGAAACACCTGGCAAACATGGTGCTGAGGAGCCAGTGACCATTCCATATCCCCAGGAAGAGCCTGGCAGCAGGGGGTCCCCGCTATCAGAACATGAACAGCACACAGGGCCAGGAGTATGACCCCGTGTTCCCCTGTCCCTTCTGCACAGCTCAGCATCCTCCCCCCCAGTCAGACACCAATCTCTGAGCACCTCCCAGAAGGATCTGCGCCCTCCTGGAGGAACAGCAGCCTCCAAGGAGAGAGCCCAGCCCCTTGTTGCTCCCCGGGCCACCTCTCCAGCTCCCTGTCCATCCCCTGAGGCCAGGACAGAGATCAGGAAGCAAACCCCTTACCTGTGGCAGCGCTCAGGGGGGAGAGGGGCTGCGGCAGGGCCTGCTCCCGGACGGAGGCCGCGCCGTCCAGCTGCGAGGGAGACGGATCCCTGTCCTGTGGCAGCTCGTGCTCCACACTCAGCGGCACCGCCGCCGTCCCTTTGTTGGCAGGCTGCTGGCAAGGAGCTGTCCTTACTGGAGCATGCTGGGCTTTGGGAGCAGGGACAGCCTCGGCGCCGTCCGCCCCGGCGCCGTTGTCAGTCAAGCGCTGCTGCGCCGGGCCCTTGCTCCACTCCCGTTTGACGGCCAGGGCGTTGTCCAGCAGCACGGAGCTGCAGTCCGAGTCCGTGTCCATGACGTAGTCGTGGCCGTCCCCGCAGCCCCAGACGGCGCGGATGATGCCGCAGTACTCGGAGGAGAGCACGCTGCGCAGCGCGGGCACCGAGGCGCAGCCGCCCGCGTGCGCGTGCGCCCACGCCACCAGGCTGTGCAGGCACTGCGGGCTCGACGTGATCAGGTCAACTGCCCGGGGAGAGGCAGCACGGTCAGCCTGGGCTGGGGGCACGCGGAGGGGACAGGGGCGTGCATCTGCTCCCCCAGGGCTGCCCCACAAGGCAGGGGGGAGCCACCCCAGAGGGCTGGAGCGGGGCAGTGCCAGTTCCACAGAACCATTGAGGGTGGAAACGATGCTTCTGGGAGCACCGAGGCCAACCCGTGTCCCTGTCAGCCACACCACACTGCCACGTCCAGTCTTTCCCTAAACACCTCCAGGGACAGTGGCTGCATCACCTCCCTCCACCATTCACTGAAAGGGTATTTCCAATTGTCCCCAGTGCCCAGCACCAGCTGGGACAGGCCTGGCACTGCCACCCAAATCTGCTCTGCCCACTCTTCCCACCCCCAGGTGAGCCTCTGCCTGTTTGGCCCAGCTCACGAAGGTGAAAATTCTCCTGGGCAGCCAGAGGGAGGAAGGAGAACCATAACCAGCTGTGCCACAGGACACCAGAACCCCCCCTAAACACGGTCATTTCTCACCACCCACCATCAGAAGGAAAAGGGGCAGAAGGAAAAGGGGAGTGGGCACTCACCCAGGCAGGAGGCACCTCCTTCCATACCCGGCTGCGCCTGGACCCCGCTGCTCCTGCAAAAACCAGAGGGGCACAGTGGGATTTGGGGGTCACGGAGAGACCACGGGGGAGCACAGGGCAGCGTGGGGCAGCACAGCCAGGGAGGCGAGGAAGGCCACGTACTTTCCTTTGGACTTGGCGTGGCCCGTGGGCGAGGCGTTCACCCTCTGGATGAAGGTGCGGAGGACGCTGCGGCACTTGTAGAACTGGGCATGGCATTTCTTGCAGACGAACTGTGGCAGCGCGGGGTCCTGCCGCACCGCCACGCCCACCAGCCGCTGGAAGTCGGCGAAGAACACCTGGTCCAGGCGCCGCTGCTTCTCCGAGCTCTCGCCCAGCACGGGCACCTTCCCGAAGGCATTGCGCAGGCTCCGCGAGGAGAACTTGCCGTGGCACAGGCGGCAGTAGCCGGTGCTCAGGGCTCTGCCGATTCCTGCCCGGGAGGAGCAAACGCGGCCGCTGAGGGGGGAACTGAGGGGCCCAAAGGTGTTCCTTGCCCTTCATGCCAGCTGCCTCCTCAGCCCTGCCTTCAGCAAAGTGCGGAAAATCCAGGCAGGGTGAGACCCTTCTGACAGCAGCTGAGCCAAAACCAGCCCTTCTGGCCCCACTGTCCCAGCGGCAGAGCCTCCTCTGCGCTGTGGGGTTCCCGGACTCTGCCAAGGCCATCCCTGGGTTTCAGCAGCTCTTCCCCGGAGTGCATCTCCCAGGTATTTACAGCTGGCACTGTGTCCCTTGGCTGGCCCAGCGCTGGCTGTGCCACTCCTCAGCTCCCCGGCAGTGCCCTGGAGTGGGGCAGTGTCACCTGCAGTGTCACCCAGCAGTGTCACCTGCGGCACCCCCGCTCTGTGGGATAATCTCCATCCCCCAGGTGTGAAGGGAACCCCGAGCACAGCCTCCTCCCGGCCCTGATCCAACCCAGCCGCGCTCCCAACCCCGGGCTGGGAGCAGCTCCCAGGGCTGCCGGGGCCACCCGGGAGCGATGGGGGTCTCAGCACTCCCCGCGGGGGTGGCGGCAGGGCAGCACCTCCCGGGGGAGTGCCGTGGGGGGCTGAACCCCCCGGTGCCAGCCGCTGTCCCGGGGCAGCGCCGGTGCCCCAGCACCCACCGGAGCCGTTGGAGATCGCGCTTATCTCCTGCCCCAGCTGCAACGCACCCGGGTATCAGCCACCCCAGCCCCCAAACCGGGATGGCAGGAGGGTCCCAGGCACCCCCAAACCCCAAACGAGATGGCAGGAGGGTCCCAGGCACCCCAAACCGTGATGGAGGGAGGGTCCCGGTCACCGCCAAACCGGAGCAGGCAGCGGCCGAGCACCCCGACATAGCGGGCGGTTTCCCCGCTCTCCCTCCCCGTGTGCCGAACTCCTCCTTACCTCGCCGTTACCGGCACCGGCACGCTCCGTGTTTCACGGGAAGAAACTCCTCACCAACGGGCAAATTCTGACCTGCCGCCCGCTCTGACCCCGGCCGTGCGGAGGGACCCCGCCACACCGAGGGCTCCGTCCCCCGGCCCCGGGGAAGCGGCTCCGGCCGTGCCCCGCTCCCCCCGCCCCGCTCCCCGCGCTCGGGCCTCACCTGCCTCCGGTGCGCAGGCGGCGGCCGCGGGGGGCTC